TATAGAACAACACTAGTAAAGATGAATCGGCTTTATACTAACCCTACTGAAGTCTATGAATTCCTCCTTGATATTATCATATCTGAGAATTCAATTCATTAAGTAATTGACTTCATCCTAAAAAACTTGTATTGTAAAGAAGAAAATTCAAAATATAAGGAGTTTATAGACTCTATCATCGATTCCCTTAATAATATTAAAAATATTGGCTAGCTCTGGAATGGTATCTCAATTTATTACGAAAAAATAGATAAGTAAAACATCAGCCCTGAATTGTGCTTACTCACAGAAAGGAATTTATATTTCATGGATACAATAATAATGCAGATGAATGGCATAAAATAATCCTCTGAAGAAAGCTTCACATTTTCAACAAGAAATGATATCAGGGATGCTCTATAAGATGTAAACATAGAGATTATGAGAAATAATGCCTACAATGCCTATAACGAGACTTTTAAACTGTAGTTGGCCGAAAGAAAATCTATTTAAGAACAGGAACTTTTAATAATATAGATAGAGGAAGAAAAAGAATTGATCAAGAAGCAAGATCTAGAAATTGCAAGGTTAACTAAAGAATTGGAGACTTTTAAGGATGAAGTTAAGTAGAAGTTACTTTTGAAGTTAAAAGAATAGTAGGCTTAGGAACTAGAAAAATGCGAGCTAAACAATTAATTCTTAATATACTCAAAATTCTTTAACTCAATTTATTCAGGACTAAAAAATGATTCAGAGCAGGTTGATTTGAATATTTTTAAAGATTGTTAAACATTAGACTAAATAATAAGTTAGCTTAGAACTTAGAAAGTGAATGGTAAAACTTATATGGAAAAGATTTTGTCTTAAATGGCCTCTCAAAGTGATGAAGATATCGCAATTTTAAATAGATTTGTATCTAAAAATACCTCAAATTCTTCAATTGTTGAGGAATTAAAAAACAAGTGGATAATTCTATTTTCAAAGCCTGCAGTTTAATTCAATAATGGAACACTTCTGATTTCAGGAAATGTTTTTTCATTAAGTTCAGTTAAGAGCTTATATGAAAACGATCTACCTAATACTTCAGAAATATATATTATAGCATCTGAATAGCTTATCTTGGATATTGACCTAAAAGTTCCAAAAGTCAATGTTGCGATTGAAGCTAATTCTATTCTTATTAAGAACTCATAATGCATAATAGATACTTCTCCTAAGGACCCTCCAAGACTTAAATAGATATAAATGTCTAATTACGAAAAGAAATGCAAGAAAGTCCAAGTCGATGGATAGAATGGTATTGCTGGAGATAGTGCAGGAAACATTATGATAATCGCCAAGGTAAATATTTAAGGAATAGAATGCCTTAAGCTTATTGCAAATGGAGCAAATGGACAAGATGGAACAGATGGTTTAGATGGCTTCGATGGTGAAGTTTATAAAGATGGTATTGATGGGATAAATTTTATTAATAATAAAGAAAAAATAAAATAATCTGAAAATAGTGGTTGGGGAGCTACTCATACAATTTGGTATGGAACGGAAGGAGGATTAGGGAGTGATGGAGGACACGGAGGAGATGCTGGAGTAGGCGGAGAAGGTGGCCATGAAGGTAAAATATCTGTAATCATTTAAAATGAGGAAAAACCGTTAAAATTCGAACAAAAGAAAGGGCTAAATGGTAAAGATGGAGTAGAAGGTAAAGGTGGCAAAGCAGGGAAGGATGGAAAAAGAGGGGTAGAATATTATCGTTTTAGTTCATTGAATCCTTTTGGTGGTGATGAAACAAAAGAAGGATAATTAAATTTATGGAAAAAAACTAAATATGTAAGAAATAAATACTTCTAGAAGAAGAAAAAAACATATGATATTGAATTGAATGTAATAATGAATAAAGAAGAATATGCCTGGGATGGAAGGACTGACTATACTAAAGATCAAAATGGTCAATAAAAAAATAAGAGGGGTGCTACAGCTGCATAGAAAATAAATTAAATGAAGAAATCAATCTAAAAATAAAGCATTAATAAGGGTCATCTTGATTCTTTGTTTTAAAATAAAATGACTAATTTAACAAACGCTAAAAACTAAAACAAATTTCAATCTACCTCATTGACCGATTAAAAAATTTCATAATAGAGTATTTCTCAGAAGTAAAGCATTTAGGACTCTTAAAATCAGTAAGAATAATAATTACAAATGAAAGTTTAAATGGCTTAAAACTAAAAACAGAGTGCCGCATAGTAACTTTCAGAAAAAAATATATAGCTTTAAAATAAATAGAAATTAATTCAACAATTATAACAAAATTAGGCAGATATTGCAAAACAAACTGAATAATAAGAGAAGTAATTACTCTAAATAAACCAAAATCTTTAATAAACTAATGTAGCTTAACAATAAGCTAGCTCATAGATGACCAATGTTACTATATTCAAATAAGGTCCTTAAACCAGTAATAATTTGCCAATAGAAACATTTTTTTGCCATACAGGTCAAACAGAAATAATTATTCCTCAAATTAAGGATCATTTCGAAATCGATGAAGTCAAGCTAATTTAATACTTGTAAAACCTTAAAAAACTTCATCCATCACAAATAATTCTGATAGAAAGGTTCCTTGAAATTTTAGATTCGCTCATCCTAATCTCTAAAAAGATTAATTTCAGAGTATAGGTACCAGAATCATTAAGAAAATTGATATAGGATAGTCTAAAGCACATTCACAAAGTAGGATTGAGATATACTATAACAATTTTATCCTAGCATATAGCTTCCATAGTCCAGATCCTAAAATAAATTCCTTCAAAAACTAATATCGAATAAGAAATGCTAGAAGTACTTATTTATTAGGATAATATTGAGCCTGAGTATTTATCAATGTGTAAAAAGAATGTAGATAAAATTTATCAAGAGCTAATGTATAAAATATAATTTATGGACAAGAAAGAAGCTATAAGAATTCTCAGGAAATCCATATCTAAAAATGGCAAACTACCAGACAATCCTTTATCAAAAGTATTCTATTTTT